ATTCGCCAAGGTACAGGAGAGTTCTAGAAAATAGGTGGCACCACACCAGTCACGTGACCTCGATGACGCAACAATACCAAATTTGGTGAAGATCCACCGATTCAGTATCATACTGTAGAAGGAAATACAAAATGGTGTAAGAAAAAGCTTCATTGCAGTACACGTATGCAATCAGGGAAGCCAACAAAATAGTAACAAAAAGACAGACCATAAAAACGCAAAAAGTAGAATATAATGTTGAAATTTTGCATGTTTCTGCACAATGATGCAATAAACCAGGAAACACAATTTGGTGAAGATCCCTCAAAATGGGGCGAAGTAATGGTATGAAACGCAAAACTTGCCATAACAACCGTAAAACGAAGAGTGGTTGCACAACGAACCAGTGAATCTACATTCCAAATTTGGTGAAGATCCACCAATTAAGTAACAAATGGTGGTAGAAAATCGAAAATGGTGTAAGAAAAAAACTTCACTGCAGTACACGTATACAAGCAATGAAGCCAACAAAGTAGTAACAAAAACCGACCATAAAAACCGCAAAGTTGAATTTTTGATGTTTCTGCACAATGATGCAGTGAAGCAGGAAACCAAACTTGGTGAATATCCCTCTAAAGGGGAAGAAGTAGTGGCACGAAACGCAAACCTTACCAAAGCAAAACTTAAGTGTACAATGTAGTCATTTCTACCGAGACACAAGCTATTTATTCATCTTAACTTGAAAACTTTTACAATGCCTTTATTGACATAAAAAATTTATTTCAAAATTCAATTTTCAGAATTTGTTAAATTTCTTAAAAGCATAAAGTTTGTAAAATGGAAAGTATAGCATCAATTTAACTCTGTTCTATTACTTATAAGTTTGATAACTATTTTGGGTAAAATCACACTGTATGCTTATTTAAAATGTAATAAGAACCATGTACAGGCCTTCTCAGAGGTTCACAGAGGCCCGGGCCCCTGGCTATAATAAAAGAAATGATGACATATGAAAACAAAATAAGACAATCATTAGCACAAAAGTGAAACATAATTTGAATATTTAATTTGCAGCTTTAAGCTGAGAGTTTATGTGGATTGATTTGGAAGCACATAAAAACAAATCACAAAGCTTCACACATACACAAAGAAGTATCTAAATTCAAGGCCCGGGTCAAATGGCCCTCCGTCTAATTGATCCTAACCATATGCGCATTAACTTCATTTGATAAAAATAGGACATTTACGCTGAACTTTCAGAGCAATGAAGTAGATAAATTTCCCTTCAGTTTATGACATATTTTTACTAAAAAAAACCATTCTTCACATTTTTTAAACATTTTTCTTCACTCACTGTGTTTATTCAAGACTAGCTGGAGTACCCATCTCCTGGACAGATGTTCTGTAAATTCCTGATTAATGAAATGTTATCTTAGAACATGAAAAGTTGATTCCCTTATATGTAATCGTAAAAAACATAAAAATGATCATAAAAACTGCAAAACATAAAATGTGAAAACGCAACTTTGCATGTATCCAACAAATCTTCATGGCGAATTTGGTGAAGATGCATCAACAGGGTGCAAAGTAGTGGTAAAAAATGCAATATATCCATAAAAACCGCAAAACTGAAAATTTGTACATATCTCCACACAAAATTAGGTTAAGATCTCCATCAACAGGGGGTGAAGTAGTGGTAAAAACGCCCATAAAAACCGCAAAACAAAACTGAAAATTTGTAAGTACCCTTGTATGGACCTAATGAACCTCCATGCCAATTCTGGTGAAGATACATCCACACCCTGCAAAGAAGTTACATGGACTACAACAGACAGTATTGTTAAGTTTATATAGATATTGGAGCTCCTAATAAATATTACGACTCCCAGTGAGCTACCGCAAAAAGTTTTTTAAAGGCTGCTTTTTCTAAAAACATAAGAGCAAATTGTGATTTACAATCAAAGTGTAGTTTTAAATATACATAAATATTTTATGTGCATGTTACTTTGTGTGTTATGAGATATTTTATCATGTAATTTCTGAAACGGAAGGCTTAATTATTCTTCCTTATTAAAGATGCTGAAAAATCTTCACATGTTCATAAAGCTGATTACAGTATCTAATATGAGGCAATGTTTTAGATTAAAAATGTTGGTTTATGCTCAAATTTTCAGGTATAGTTTAACCTATTTTGGGCAAAAATAAAGGGTGAGAATCAAAATAAAGGTTTTATTGGTTTTAAACATTTCATTCAAGAACCCAATATTATTTTTGTTTCTCTTTTTTCATGTGTAATAAAATATGTGGATACATGTTGTAATACTTTAAAAGCTAACAAGATTTCTTAAAATGTTGGAAATCATAAAATGACATGATTTTTATTACAACATTCTACCAATACAAGTAGCTTTTCCCCTGAAATTTAATGTATGTTTAAGCCTTGTTTTCCCACTTTTAAGATAAAGCAATAAAATACAAATTAAAATAGTATTTTCAAGATTCTTCTATAAATTTGAGTTGAATATTTGGATGTAAAAATTGCTTTTTTCCCCCTAACTTCTTCAGGCATGTTAGTGGGCTACAGGTAAATTCCAAGACTATTACGTTATGAGGCTTGTAGTACTTGGCACGTTATGTCACTGTCTGGCCATGCTGTCTCATGTTTTGCATCCATGTTGAAACACTTGAGATGAAATAATGAAATTTGTTACTGCTTCTGGTTTAGTTTTTGTTTGCCTTTGCTAAGAAAAAGGTATCATCATGATAGATAGTCATATATGTGCTGTGACTGTTTGTTCTAACTGTGACAAAAACATTAATGTTAGGTTTCATTGATTTCCCATGAAAGATGAACAGTTGTTTAAAACTTGGGTTTACAGATGCAAAAGAGCAGACAAATTTGATCTGTTCAATAGGAATAGTCATGTGTGTTTGGATCAATTTAGTAATGATTATTTTCAGAAAAATTAAAAAGCCGAACTACTTGGTTACAAGAGCAAACCTCGATTAAAACCAGGCGCCATTCTTTCTCTCAAATTACTTCTGTCATTAAGTACAAGAAATGTTTGTGATAATGAAGTGTTGTAGAGTGAATGTGCAGCTAGTACAAAAACAACAAGGGAAAAAGCTCATAAATGGTATCATCTGCTTTGGATTCTCAAAATGGAGCTGGCACCAAGACACGCGATCAAAGTTTTTTGGATTCAAAACAAACTGTTTTAATTATCTACAATTAAAAAGCAGAGAAAGGTGATACATGAAAAAGACAAGAAAATAGCTACTTTAAGAGCAAGAATATTTTTGTTGCAGAAAGAAGGAAATAGAATTTAAACTTTGAATGCTGAAGACAAGGTAACAAAGTACCAAGGGCCAGACAAAAAATACACTAAGGTAAAAATAGTCTATGTCATCCAGTTGTCTAATATTCCAGTTAGATTACTTATCTAAAACCTAAGTGGTTTTGTATGATATCACTATGCAAATTAAAATAAAATTGTGGGTATTATGTCTAAAAGATACATGGTATAAATATTATGATATGAAATGCATGGTTTACTGATGAAATGAATACTTTAGTAATCTTTGTTATTGTATGTCCTTTAATGTAATATTTTCTAAAATTTAGTCACTGTTTATTACCATCAACCCATTCTATCATCTTTATGGAAACTTTCTAGTGCATGCAACTTGCTTGGATCTTCTAACCAGCATAATAATTAGCAAAACTAGTATATTATTAGCAGAGACCCACAAAACATTTGTGGACAAATTAGTATCTTTATTGCAATAGTACTTCTTTAAATATATAGGATTTCTACAGAGTAATACTAAAGAATTCTAATCACAAACACTGAAAGCTTCAAGTCCACTTGTCTTAGTACTAACATTAGTTAAGCTTTTATCAAGTATAGCCTATATTCGATAAAGAGATAAATTAACACTGTAACTTGTGTTAGGGGTAAGCCTTACTGCACTTAATACTATCAATAAATAATCTTCTAATATTATTGTACAACCTAATGTTAGACCTTTTTAAAAACTTTGATAAGCTTTTAATATGTTGTATAAAATGTCTACTAAAGTATATTTACATCCTTTCTGGCGTAACTCAACGATTTAACAAAAATATGTTTACAAATTGCGATAAAGGTGCAATTTTTTCTACATTTCAGTCAAAATATTTCTTCAATTTTCGATCAATCATAGACTACTTTCTTCCAATTGACAGGAAGCCAAACTACTTAAATTACATTACAAGTTACAATGACATTATTGCATGACTGAGAGATAGACAGATACACAGCATTTTATAGTATTAGATACTATGTATTGATTTTTTTGTAGTGCAAACCTTGTGTTTAAATATAATATAGTATAATATTATATATATAATATAGTATAATATATTTAAAAATTGAAACAGTTGCTGCCATGAGTGCTGCCCACCATCACACTTTTATGCATGCAAGGTGTCCAGGCAGTGACATCATTTTCTATTAGCCAATCACATCACAAATACTGTCTCAACAAGCCTCATAATTTAATAGTCTTAAGAAAATTCAAAGAAAATTGGCCTGTAAGCACAACGTCAGGTACAACTGGAAACAAATGCTACCCATCTAATTGGTTGATCAAGGTACACTAAAATATTTTTATGATTTTTTTTAATGTTATAAAAATAATAAAAAAACAACAATAACAAAGTAAATAACTAAGCCATATCTCAAAAGGTTTGTGCTGATCTTGCTAATGATCCAGTTGAAGATGTTATCCATGGAAATCCCAGAATTTCTTTACATGCCTGATTTTTACTTCTTTTTTGGCAAGATTATTTGAACTTCATAGTCATTAGTTCATCAATGATTTATTCACTTGAAATTACAATTTATTTTATATATACAACTTCTACCAGATACAAATTTGTTTGTTTTTGTACAAGTAAGTTTGTGCTGCTTTATCTTTCTACTATGAAATAAAACTGAATATCTGATAAAATAGTTGTTCCTGCAGTGTTAAAAAACAACAACAAAGAACATGAGTATCTTCAACATGATAGATGCTATACTCACACAAACTGCACAGATATCATTGTAAAGAACTAAAGAGAAGTAAAAAAAAATTAGAAGATTATATTATGCACAAACTTCAACACAAAAGTTGCTTTAAGGTACTTTAATTTTTCTGTTATCACTACACTGATAATTTTGAACAGCAATCAGAGACTTTGTACAAGACTCATCTAAAACAGACTAGTTAACAGATTAAACTTCTCACTACCAGGTAGGTCTTTGGGGAATGTTTTCAATCTTCAGGAACTTTATTCATACCTAGAGAAACCATTTGTGAAAGTGTGCAAAATTTAATAAACATTATCTATTTTACTAATAGGTATGATATTTGAACTTTATTCATTTATAGGAAAGTTTATACTGGTAAAATTTTACTGGCTTATCAAGAAAACTGTTTATTTTCCCCAGCTTTCCCAGTAGAGAAAAGTGTTCATTCTACATTCTATAAGTATCTTATACTATATATATTAGATGCTCTCTAAACCATGTACAAAGTACCTGATTTAAAACAATGTTAATATATATACAAAACTCCTAAAATTCAGAAGTGAAAAATAAAGATATCACATTTTATACAACTACTAAGCAAGTCTGCAATTTAAGCTCAAATCTCCATTCTCAGGCAAGCTGCATGTTTGAATTATACATAATCTGTTCAAATACACATCAACAAAGGGAAATTACTCTCTCAAAATATATTTATGAACATACCATTTTTTACCATTTTGGATTTTGAAAAATTAGAATTCTTACAAGTTAAATACTACTGAAGTTTTTGCTAAATTCTAAGATTTAAAATATATAAAATATTCCATATTGCATACCATATTTCCTATGATATAAAATACACAAGCAAACATAAACCTTTAGAGAATAAAACTATGAATTGAATACAGCATTGGCAAAAGTAAAAGACAGATGCATAAAAAATAATACTCTTAACATACAACTTCAATGAGACTCTGTATAAATACCTTGGCAATTAAAAAAATAGAACAATATTATTCATGTTTGTGGTGTTAATGTTTTAAATAATTTTAGCTTGGAGTTTCTGCTAATGTGAGTTCAGAATGGGTATAATGTAGTGGAGCAAGATCTAATATACATTATTTCATTGGGAAAAAGATTATGGACTGATTTATATTCAATTCAAGATATATAAGGTGAAAAAAAAAGAATACACAGTTAATAGAAACATCATCTATTAGACATGATCCACTACAACAAAAATGGTTGAGGAATCCACTGTTAAATAAAAAAGTACATATATTATTTCTGGTTATTAGAGCTTAATCAATGAAAATGCTATTACATAAACTTACTGAAAACTTTCCAGATATTAGTATTAAATCTTTCATATTTCTGTAAGTTGTTAAGAGTTGACTTACTTTTAAGTTTGTTGTGTGATTTATCTGTCTATGTTAAACTGAAGGTCATACACCTTAAAATACCTAAAAACATAGTTTTATAAAAGCTGTAGACACTCCCATGTTGTAACACTCAGTAAAGAGTCTGAAACCAGGATTAATATACTTTAACTTATTATCCAGAAGGGCATCTGATTCTTCCTCACCAATATTGTTTATATGTTACATAACTAGAGTTTCCACAATTAAGTAACAATAACTCACATTTTTCAAATTTTCATGTTTCTCCTTAACAGGTTAAGTTTAGTATTTTCTAGAGAGTAAAGCAAAGCATACAGAGATATACTTGATCACATAACGTGCATTTTGTAGTAAACAAACTAAACTTAGTCGTTTTAATCCTGTGGGAAAATCTAATTCTTTAAAAACAGTAAATTAAATTTTAAGTATTTTTCTGAAGCTTAAAGTAAATTATCAAGCATTTTGTTTTTTAGGATTTCACTAAAAGTTATTTCTATGGAAGACACCAAGAGATTCCTACAAATTAAAGTCTACAAGTTCTTAAGATAGTAAAGGGAGCAAAATGTTATACTACAACTAGAAATGTAATTTATTATATAAATACTGTTGAGTTTCAGCTCAATTAGGATGAGGATATAAGAGTTTAAATGTGATTACTTATCTAAAGCCTGTCATACATAACAGCACAAGATGATCAAATAAGTTGGATACAGACATTAGTTTTTTTTTATCAACTTATAATCTAATATAATAACTATGTAATTAATGAATTACTATACAAAAATAATATATGAAACAAAGCTAAAGAAGGTTTTACAAGTAATAAAAAACATTTAGTTTTCCTAATAAAAACATATTTACTTTCAGTTTGTTCAAAAGAAAAGCTTACAGTATTAACATTTTTATAAATGAATTAGTAGTTACTGTCGTGAAAGTAAAATCTACACAAACAAATTTTCAAAGCAAGACACACATCTTGTAATGAATTTCAAAGACTTTAAAAGAAAAATTAGAGTTAAATTTTAAGTGTAATTTCTCTTGTTATTCTAAGCTACAATTATTTCAAGGAACTTCTACAAGAATTTTTCTACTGCTTAAATATTACTCTTTTGATAATAATAATAACAGCATAAAATACCTTTGTCCATAAACTATACCTAAGTTTTACTACAAGCTTCTTCACAAGGCTGTATATAAGGGACATTTTGATAATACTACTCAGATATAAATATCATTCTAGTTAACACTATACAATCAAAAAGAATAATCAATAAGCATCCTCTTTAAATTTTATTTGACACTCCACTTATATCATTTGATATTATTTTTTGATCCAATAATGATCCTTATTTTCAGTTTCAAACAATTTCAATTCACTAAAAACACTAGTCAGTATTGGGCACCAATTTTAAAGTTTTGCATGGAATATTTTTTACATTACTTTGCACTTACAGATTCATAAATAAAAGATAATGATCAAATTCTAACAATCAATATGATGTATTATAGTGTTGCTATCATCCTTTAGAGGTGAGACTATCTGATCATGGAACTCATAGGTATAACAAGTTTTTGTTATGTAGATTCTGAAGTTAAAAATGTTAAATTCAAACTAATAACTGTCCTTATAAAATTATTATAACTTTCTAGTTTCTATACATTAACTGTGTATAGGTGCATAGTGTTAGATATTCTTCATTTTATCATGGTGGCTCAACTTTTTTTATGTATCAAAGAAAGAAATGTTTTCAACATCGTACATCTTTACAGTTTATTCATGCTCTGAATCTCCTTCACTGGAATAACCTTTTGTGTTGGATTCAGTGGTTATATTTGATGTAGAAGCTTTAGATTCACGTTCCAGATTTCTATAAAAATCTAACCATTCTTCTATCATTTGGGCAACCAGAAGAGGGCGCTTTGGTACTTTCTGTTGAGCCACTAAAATTCCACCTTCAGTGACACAGCAATCCAACCACTGATGGATAATTTCTTCTTCTCTCCCAAGCTGAACACACACATTCAAGAAGAAACAAAATACATGCATGTTAATACGATACACATAGTATTGATATTAACATCTCTTATATTTTGGAATTAATAATGTTTACTTACAAACTCTGCCCTAAAGTAGTAGAAGAACAGCAGAGTTAAAATTTTAGTTTTGAATATAGCTTCTGTTTCTGTTTCATAAATTATATTTATATGGTTTAATATCAAGTACTTAACCTGGAATTATATCTACCTACTGGAAATGTCTAGAATTAGGTTATTAGAGAAACCCTTACAGAAGTTATAAAACAAAACTAAAAACCCAAACACTTTTTTTGTCAGTTTTCTTTGTGAATTACATAAACTCTTTCAGCACAGGCTTGGTCCGTGGGACCAGCCTTGTAACCATTTTGTGCTTGTTATAGTTTTCATGCCATAACTTTTAAATTAATAAGAGTATGTTAATGAAATTTGGCAGATTATCAGTAAACATTACAATGCTTTCATACACAAAATATCAATTTTTTTTTTATTAAGTCTTATGGTTTTATAAAGCAGTGTTTTTCTCATGCCTTTTTTTTTTCTTTTCGCATGTTGCCTATCCAACATGCAAAGAAATTTTCATTTTAAGATAAAAATACTTTTATGCATCAGAAAATTTTCAAATTTCACATGCAAAATCTTTATAATGTCCAGATAGTTATCAAACGTTTCTTAAGAAAAAACTATATATTTTATCTGTTATTTTCAGTTATGAATCTCTGTACAGGTCGGTAGATTTGACCAATCTCGTAACCATCATAAAAAATTTGGAAATAAATACAAATTATGCCTCTTTCATTCTAAAATGACCACAAATTATAACACAAAAACATAAATA